ACTAAAGCAAGTTCACACATCAGAAGATTAGCGCCATCTAAGAAGAGAAGTATCTCCTTGCTCAATATTGCATGGAATGAGTCAGTGATCGTTGCAAATCAGATGTGCGAAGTGTGCATTTGTAGCCGTGGGAAGAACAGAGACTTTTTTCGAGTGGCCTTCTACTGCTACTTAATCACGAAAGCTTGCGATATAAGCACATTTGAAGAGCGTATTTGCAAAATAAAGAAACTTATGCTTGAGAATGCTTAGATTGTTTCCATAGGTACGTCGCCTGCTGCAAACGTTCGCATGGCATCACGCTGAACAATCTCAGTGAGTGCACGAAGTTCTGCTGAAGATCGCATCATAGCAGCAACATCTGCAAGCTGTTGATGTCGTTCAGCATCCGGAATTTTCTGAAATATGTACCTTATAGGGTTACTGGCGCACAATCTAATGCAGCCGATAGTTAAGGAGTCAAATATTAACTCGTTTAGGAAAAAGGGATAAAGGAGTAGTATAGAAATTTGTCATTAACACTAAAGTATTGTTAACTTCACCAAGTTCACTGTATGATGGATCAATTGGGTGATTGTAGAATATTTAAGGAAAATCCATTATTTTTTACTATGCTTTTCAATAGGGTGCTTCAGAGATGTCCAACCTGTAAAGCCAAAACCACTCGAATAACAGCTCGCTTGAGTTCATCCTGTTTGTCAATTTCTTGTTTTACTGCATTTGTCTTTGGTTTGATTTGTAACTGAGTCTAAAAAGAACGATAACCACTTCGAAAGGTAACTAAGAGTATTGCTCAAATAAAGACCTTCAATGATTCGCAGATCTTATCGAGACGCTGTACTAACTGATTTGGGCAGAGCAATGCTAATTTCATGAGCATAAGATAGCTGAGAAGACGAATATCATGATGCATATCCTAAAAACAACAAGTCTACAGCTTTTGCTAATACAGAGGTATACATGTAACTCACTCTTAATCCATTTTCCACATAGTTTATGAACTCGAATATTTCCAGTTTTTCAAGACAGCTC